TATTATTTTTTTACGTCTCCAGAATCAATCCTATACCTAAAATTGGATTATTTACTTTTTTTTGTGATTTCTTAGTTTATTTAAACATATTGAGAATCAATTCAAAATCTACACTATTATTTACTTTTCTCAAGGATTATTTACTTTTCTTTTGTGATCCAGAAATATATTCTATCTCTATCTACAATGCATTTAAAAATCAAATTTAATTATGAGAATCATTAATTATCAAGTCATATAAGATACTCATTCTATATTAAATTGATAATTAATTATCATGAATGACTTAATAAACTAAAAAGACAAACATACTAATTATATATTTGTTTCCAAAAATATTGTTGATACCATTTCCAAAAGAAGCATTTACATTTATTATTAGTAACCTCAATTCCATCAACTCCCTCTTTATATATATATAGATTGTGAGACATTTTTTAATAGACTAAATCTATTTCCTATGTGACATAAGATGTTTTATTAAGAGACTCAACGTAGTTTAATTATATAAAAAAAAAAAGAGGAAAGAGGGAAAGGTATAGGAAAATGTTACGGTTTCGTTACGGAATCATTCTGTTGGAGTTTGTAACCGTTATATCATTATGCAACCGTCTATAATAGTTGATCTAACAGTTATAAACCCCTACGGAACGATTACAAGACCATAGCATCTCCCAAAGGCATAATTATCACCGTGTTTGTTCTTTCGTTAGTTATTTCACTCTGCCGAAGCCTATCGCTTTCTGTTCATATCCCTTTAATCAATTCGAATTTTTTTCCCCCAAATTAATCATCTTTTTAGCTCAACAAAGATGATGATCAGAATCAGAAGCCGCGACGGCCTTGAGCGCGTCTCGGTCGACAACCCCATCGCCGCCACCGTCGGCCACCTCAAATCCCAAATCCAGTCCCAACTCCGTGTCCCAATACCGGCCCAAACCCTCTCCACAGACCAAACCCTTCTCCTCGCCAAGAACCCTTCCGACTGGACCCGATTCGTTGACATGGCCGACGCGAACACCCCACTCTCCTCCCTCTGTCTCGCCCACGGCTCCATCGTTTACTTAGCCTACGAGGGCGAGAGGGCCGTCGCCGGGCCGGCCTTCCACCCCGCCGGCTCCTTCGGCAAGAAGATGACCATGGACGACCTGATCGCGAAGCAGATGAGGGTCACGCGCCAGGAGAATCCCCACTGTGAGCTCGTCTCCTTCGACCGGGACGCCGCTAATGCCTTCCAGCACTACGTGAACGAGACGCTGGCGTTTGCAGTCAAGCGGGGCGGGTTCATGTACGGCACGGTGTCCGAGTCGGGGAAAGTCGAGGTGGATTTCATCTACGAGCCCCCACAGCAGGGTACTGAAGAAAATTTGATACTCTTAAGGGATCCGGATGAGGAGAAAATGGTGGAGGCCATAGCATTAGGGTTGGGAATGAGGCGGGTCGGGTTTATATTCACGCAGACCATTAGTCAGGACAAGAAGGACTACACGATGTCCAGAGTCGAGGTTTTGCAGGCGGCCGAGCTTCAGGCGGAGGGTGATTTGAAGGAGTGGGTCACTGCCATTGTGAAGCTGGAGGTGAACGAGGATGGTGGGGCCGATGTACATTTCGAGGCTTTTCAGATGAGTGATATTTGTGTGAGGCTGTTTAAGGAAGACTGGTTCGAACGGGATGTGCTGGAGGATTTGGATCCCAAGCTTTCGAGGATGAAGAAGGACGTGGTGGTCGGGGTAAAGGACACGAGGGATGTGGATAACGATTTCTTTTTGGTAGTTGTAAAGATTTTTGATCATCAGGTTAGTGAAGATTTGTTCTGTTTATCGAGTTCGGTTTTCCTGTGTTATCAGCTACTTTGTGGAGTTTTTCTTGCCATATTGTCTGGGTTTGTGCTTGTACTATAGGTTAATAGAGCTCGTGTTTGATTCCGTTTTGTGATGCAAAAAGAAACTATATTTACAGCGAAGGGAAAATTTTTGGGGAATTACGGAGGGAATGAATACAGCCTAGACAATGGAAGAGTACTAGTTTTATTAGAGCTAATGAATCACATAGCGCCTTTGTGAAGTTGCTACACGGATTATGATTGTTGAAGGGGCAGAAGTAGATTCAAACTAGACTAGAGAGTTTTGGAAAAAAATGCAAGAGAGAGAAACTGTCCTGTTATCTTGATTCAAATGGTGATATGTTGCCTTTTTCATCATGGTACAGCTCAGATGGGTATACAATTTCTTTACTTTTACTGCATCTATCATTTATGGATCTCAACCTGTAACTGCATTCTTGTGTCATTACCTGTAAATGATGATGAGTGTTGAGATAAAATGCAATGTAATATCTACATTTGAGTTGTGTATGTTGTAAAAGACTGTGGCGTCTCATGCTTTAAGTTCTAATGATGTCACGCTATGGCTTCTGCTGAAATAGCGTAGGAATTTAAAATATCAAACCAGAATATTCAAATATATGTGTTTACATGTGTATAGTTGTATGAAGGAATTTATATTTTTTTTTGTTTTCTTGAGAATCCCGAGTTCTTCTAAATTTTGGCGTAGAGTGGCGGATAGCTGCCCCTTGGTGTAGTTCGTTTTCAGTTTTTCATGTGTCGTAAGCTAATTATGAATTGGTTTAGATGAATAGCAACCTATTCTGTATTATTCAAATAACAAAACTGAAGAACATTTTGAGGTATAGTGTGTTGGCGCCTCCTGAGATCTGTTTGGCTGAGATTATCTAAAGGGATCTGATAAAGCTTTTTCATGCTATGTTACCCGGACTCTTTTATTTAGGAAGAATACCCGTGTCATGTTGTGTCGACACTGGTGTGGGTATGAGTGTCGGGTGTGGCATTTTAGCCTAAAATGTTCAAGATTTCTAAACTATTGACGAGTCGGACGCTCATATCTCCACACCCGATACGCCACCCATATCCAAGTCCAGGTAGCATAGTTTTCATGTAAAAAATATACTTTTCAAAATCAGAGGTATAGCTGAAAACAAAGATCTTATCTTGAAAATATGTTAGGGAGCCTCTTTCCACTTTTACACCGAGGTTTTTTCTTTGTTTTCCTCGCCTTTATTTATGTGTTGTTCGATAAATTTTACTTAAAGAAAGACCCTTCTACTGTGCAGGGCCCACTTTCTTCGACATTTCCAATCGAGAACAGGATAACCCCTTGGACGATGAGGTCATTGAAAACTCACCTCGATCGTGCGAAAAATCTGCCGTTCGTGAAGAGGATTTCTGATTTCCACTTGCTGCTTTTGCTTGCGAGGTTCTTAGACGTGAATGCTGACGTGCCGGCTTTGGCCGGGTGTGTGAGGGTACAGGCAACTGTGCCTGAGGGTTACCAGCTGCTGATCGAGTCCTTAGCCAGTGCCTCTTGATGCGTTTTACTAAAAACGACCCTAACGTGGGTTGCTAAGGTTTTTCCGGTTCGAACTCGACTCCCCTGTAAAAACTAATGGGTTATCATAGTGCTTTCATTTGCCTGGGTTTTTACTGTTATTTATAGAGTTTGTTTCTGTTGCGGACTGTTATTTCCTTTTTCTGGTTTTGGTATTTTCAGTTCAAGCCTGACAGTATTTTTTTTTTTTTTTTTTTTTTTTTTTT